TTTGGGACCCCCTGCTGGTGAAATTGTACCCAATTGGCAAGAATCTCAGAATAACTGGAGGAAAAGAAATCCCAGCTCAGGAAGTTGCAGATGCTTGAGTCTTGAAGGCTGTGAGGATTCTGTGAATTCTACAGCCATCCCATAAGTTGCGACTATTTGATGCGTTTTTGTTGTTGTTTTAATATTACACAGTGATGGCTGTTCTGTGGGCTCAGGAAAGAAAGAATCTCTGACTTCTGTGAACATTCTATTAATTTTTCAAATATGTCAAGAATTCTGTGAAGGCTGCAAGAAAGACATGCTAAGTTATTAGCCAAAAATATTCATAGGTACAAATATTCCAGGTCACAGACTAATTTCATACAGATTTTTCTTTCTTTCCTTACATACATCTTCTTTTAATATGGTTGTAATTTACACTCAGAGTAGGATGACAATATGTGTGTGTGTGTGTGTTTCTATCACTGTGACATTATTCTTTTTCTAATAGACTATTTTTTAGAGAAATTTTAGGTTTACAAAAAAAATGTGCAGAAAGTACAGAGTTCCCACTTACCCCTTCCCCCACACTTTGTTTCTCTTATTAACATCTTGCTTTTCCTCTGGTATATTTGTTACACTTGGTGAAACAATATTGATACATTAGGGTTCATTCTTCCCTTTGTATAGTTCTATGGACTTTGACAAACGCTTAATGTCAAATGGAACGGCCATCTTTCTACACTTCCGGTAGTAGACTTTTACATCTAAATGTGTGCAACAAATTTATTGAGCACCTGCTATGCCCATACCCTCAGCAAGAAATTGAAGTAGGTACAAGAAGTCAAAGCCCTTTTCCCAAGAGGCTCTTGACCTTGTGGGTGAGACAGCTGAATCATTGCAATACGACTAGAAAAGTGTGTAGCTGACATGCCACTGAGGCCTTGCCTGAACTCCTGACTGTGTTCAAACAAGCTATTGTCTCCCTCATAGCAGCAGATATTTCCCTTCTTGGCGTTCATCAGCTCTGTGATTTTTTATTCACTTCTGTATTTAACTATTTAGTGCCTGTCTTTGCATTAATCTAGGTATTCCATGAGGGTAGGGGTCATGTCCAGTTTTCACACGATGGTCTCTTTACATCTAGCAGAGACTGGTACGTGTAGGTGTTCAAAAAAATGTTTGTTCAATGCATATGTTGACTAAGAGGAGAGACCTACAATTCTGTCTGGGGGAGGAGAGGGAAGCTTTAAAGGAGAGATGACATTGGAATTGAGGCTTGAAGTAGGCAGAGGAGATGGCCAGTGGAAAGAATGGGGACACATTAAGAAACACAGGGTAATGATGGCGGTGGTGGACGAGGAGGCCAGGGAAGAGTTGGTGTTTCCTAAAAACAGAGGTGTGGGGAAGACCAGGTGAAGCTGAAGCCTGGAGCCATTGTTTGAAGATCTTGTAGGTCCTATTCACAGCTTTGCATTTTCTTCTCTCAAGAAAGAAAGGGGAATGTATTAAACTATTTGGTTAGGGGACTGCATATCCATTTCCCTGCATTACTGAGAGGGTTTTTAATATTCAGATTTTAAATTCTGATAGAATGGAGACAGATCCCAAAACCACAGTTTTGCATTTTATTTCCTTCTGCATCACCTCCACTTCCACCCTGTAGCTGTGTTTACCTATTGCTAAAACACCTGGATATAGACTTTAAAATGATTAGATAGCATCATCACCACCACGAACCAGTCGTAAGTGTCTGCTGTGGGCTAAACACTAAGGATGTCATAGATCTGTCTTTTTTACAGCTCAGTTAGTTTTCCCATTTTTAGATTTCTATATGTTTTAGAGAGACTCAATTTTCATTTCTTTTTTTAATTCAGGTATTCAGAACTACCCAAACATATCTGCGAAATGCCATTTTTCATAGACATAGTGAGGCCTTTGTTTATTATTATTTCTTTGGAAACTAATGATTTGTGCCTAAGACAACCCTCTCCATATTATTTTACCTTGAAAGGAATGAGACTGGTTGGTAGTTCTGTCCCCAAGGAAATATCAAAGGCTCCAGTACATACTCATTTATAGTTGTAAAGTTAACTCTCTTATTGGATTTCCTTTTATTTCCTGCTGGGGCAATGTAAGCTTGGATAGAGGCAAAGGATCCGCTGTATATCTTTTCAGATTTATGATTAAGAAGGTCACATATACATTTTTAACCACTTTCCTTTTTGGTAATAAATGAAGAGTAAAAATGTGAAGTGTCATCAGCAGCAGACTTCTTCATTTTTCTTTCATTGCCGTTCCCCCTGCCCCTGTCTGAGAGCCTGTGATGGTGAGAAAGGCCCTGGCCGATCCAGTGCTTCATTTCTTGTTGTTTTTCTGTCTGCCTGGGATAGTTTCACTGGTTGAACCCCATGCCTGTGGCCAGAGTATTATAACCAAAAAATGCATTCCTAGTCCTGAATGTCCTTCTTTCCCCAGGCCAATTAAAATAAATAAATAATATGTAAAGCCATTTTAGGCTGCATTTGAAGAAGTTTTATGTTCAAAATGAGGAAGGGAGCTTTCTATGGATCCTGATTCTGCCTCCACCCTTCTTCACTTTGCTCTCTGCCTCTGAGCACTATCTAGATGGATTCCCTCCAGGGGATCCCTTACCTCTGGCATCTACAGGAGTTCAGAGGAGGTGGAGTGGAGTCAGGGCATTTATGCCTCTCGTTCCCTCCCTGTGAGCTCTACCTGGACTGGCTGGGTCCCTCTTCACAACACTGTCCTTTGGGGGTCTGGGAAGGGCTTCCTCTACTTGTTCCTTGGGACCCACAGGTGGTAAACAGCTCTTCTGTCACTATGCTATAGCTTGGGTTCTCCTACACCCTTCTCACCTTCGTCAGTAGTCCTTTTAGAAATAAGCCCTCATCAAATTGCCCTCATTTGAGTCTCCCACCTGTCATTCTTCTGTATAGTCTACACCTATATCATGTAGTTGTTGTTGGGTGCCATTGAGTCGATTTTCAACTCATAGCAACTCCATGTGACAGAGTAGAACCGCCCCATAGGGTTTTTTAGGCTGCAATCTTTATGGGAGCAGATCACCAGGTCTTTCTCCCACAGAGCTGCTAGGTGGATTCGAACTGCCAACCTTTCAGTTAGCTACTGAGCACTTAACTGTTGTGCGACCAGGGCTCCTGGTGGATACTATCAAGCTAAAATGAGCCTAGATAAACTCCTCTAAAATATTTCCGCTAAGTCTAGGTCCATTCGTTTCTTGAATACCTCCTCTGACAGGGAAATCATTGCCTCTTGACACTGCCTATTCCATGATCAAGTGTGGTCAAATTTGGAAAATCATTCCCTATAATTATACTGAAATTGACCTCTCTGGAATACCTATTCTTTCCGTGTTTAGATAGGAGTGACCAAGATTGAAATTGAAGTCAAGTTCTGTGAGGAATGGAGCAACAGACCAGGAGGAATTTATCCTCAAGCTATTTAATGCAAATCCCATAGCCTTTTGTATGATAGGACTATACTAATTATATTTAGGTGAATAAATGTTGAGAAAACTCAGAGTGACCATCCTGGCTTTTTAGAAATATTTTAACTGTCATATGTAAAAGGAGTTAGTCATATTTTTATATCCCTAGCAATAGATCTACTATCAATCAGTTAAAATCTAAGAGAAGTAGATTTCAAATTTATACAAAGAACTTTTTAACCATTAATTTCCCTGGTGAAGTCTCAAACCTCCATCACTTAATATAATCCAGAGGGAGATGGGAGTACACAGGTAGGGCCCTTGGAGAGAGGATGTAGACATTGGGATGAAGTTGGACAAGAAGGCGATGATTTCAAAGCACGACTAGCAGTTGCCATGTGTTGAATGCTCATTTTGTACCAGGCACTGTGCTCCGTGTGTTTCATGTATTATCTCATTTAATACCCACAGCCCTGTAAAGTTGGGCCTCTTAATTTGCCACAGTACAGATGATAACTTCATGACTTAAAGAGGTTAAGGAACTTGCCCAAGGTCATGCAGCTAGCAGGTGGAAGAGGCGCGATATGAACCCAGGTCTGCCTGGTGTCAAAGCCGATGGTTTTAACCCCTACTGGTCAGTGTCAGGAAACCCTGGTGACGTACTGGTTAAGAGCTATGTCTGCTAACCAAAAGGTCAGCAGTTTGAATCCACCAGGTACTCCCTGGAAGCTCTAATGGGGCAGTTCTACTCTGTCCTATAGGGTCGCTATGAGTTGGAAACGACTTGATGGCAGTGGGGTTGGATTTTTTTTTTTTTTTTGGTCAGTGTCAGAATTACCTGGGGAACTTGGTGGACATACCAAGGTCCAGGCTCTATCCCACTTCAATGAGCCTGGTCCTCAATGTGCTTTCTCAGCTTTCTAGGTGATTCTAATTTACTCCAAAGTTTGAGAACCATTATTCTGCCCTATTATAAATGTCCATCCAGTTCTGAGGTTCTCTTATCTATATGGGAAGAGCTATGCATCGAATAGGTTGACTTTTCTCCTTTTGAACTCCAAGACTAACTCACCTCCACCCTCACCCACTGCCAGCCACCAGCCCCTACTTCAATCTGTCATTGTTTGCTGGGTTCATTTCATGAGATTAATTGCTGAGAAAGGCCAAACTCCATTTTTAATCTCATTCAGAGCCACAGGAACAGAAAGATTAGCCTAGCCTCTCTCTCCCTTTCAAAGGAGAGTAAGGGAAGCATCATGCAAATCTCATTAATTTTCTGTTTTAAGCTCAAGTATAGAACACGCTCATTGCCAGGAATGAGACAGGATGAGTCTCATGTTTCTGAGTAAATGGAAACCATTCATGGTTTCAGGAGGAAACCTTTATACCACCTTGACATTGAAGGACCCACCTTGACTCTGTTTCTGGGGAACAAGTGAGGGTTGAGGGTTGAGGCTGAGGGATAGGGAAGAACAATCTGATCTCCCCAATGCTTTAATACAACTGGCACCATCTGACTGTGATTTCTCCCCTTGCACATGTCCCAAAGGAAGCTGGCCAAGAAGCAGAAGGAGACACAGAGTGGAGCCCAGAGAGAGATGGGTCCCGTGGCCTCGGCCGACAAACCCACCGCCAAGCTCAGCGCCAACCGCAACGATGAAGGCTTCTCCTCTAGCTCTCAGGACGTGAATGGATTCAGTAAGTTGAGTCAAGTAAGGGGAGGTAGACATCTGTGGTCCAGCTGCCTTAAGTTTGACCATGGTACCTTTCTGTAGACCTCTCACAGTGGTCAGAGGCTGTACGGTGTGGGTTCAGGATACTTCCCTGGGAGGTCCAGGATGAAGGTTCTCCCTAGCAAAGACACGGGAGCAGGTCATCCTAATTGTTCATGAACACACATAGAGACAGATTAAAAATAATAATAAAGGAGAAGGAGGAGGAGACAACTATGACCTTGAGGAGAAAATATGCATATTGAATTAATTGCCTTAAAGTTTTCAAAGCAATGCTTCACATAAACCACATAAGGTAGGTGAGTCATGGATTATTACTATCTCCATTTTGAGTGCTTAGGAAACTGAGACTCAGAGAAGCAACTTCTCCAAAGTCCCATGGCTGGTGAGACCTGGAACCCATGCTTCCCAAACCTTGGCCAGTTCTCAGCCACTGCCAATGTTCCAAATGGAGTTTAGTCAAGGGCCCCGAGTCCTCATGCAGAGTTAATACAGGATCCCAAATTAGTCTAAGTTTTCAGGGTTAACCCTTGTCCAAGGAAGAACCCCAAGACTGGTAACATCTAAGGCCACCTTGGTGATCAGTCTCAAAAGAGCTGGCTCTTGTTTTTTTGTCTTTCAGTTGTGCTGTGAGCCAGTTCTTTCTCAGAATTTAACAGAAAGGCCAGATTCAAATGTTGGTAAATTCAGGAAATGTGAGCATAGACAGACTTCCTCCACATATTGTGTAAATTGCAAATGGAAAACAACACGTTGTATGATAATTACTTTAGATATGTTCTGCTTAGCACGATGTGGATCTGTGAGAGAAGGAAGAAAGGAAACTAGTATTGATTGACTACCTTCTGTGCTGCAGGCCGTCTCTCATTTCATCCTCACCACAGCCCGGCGAGGTACTTATTGTTCCCATTTTATGGGTATGGTATTCCCAAGGAGCAGCTCTATTCTGCACACATGGGGTCGCCACGAGTTGGACTCAACCTGACAGTATCTGACAATGACAACGACGATGAAAATCTAAGGTTCAGTGAGCTTGGCTAACCTCTCAGAGCCAAACCACTAGTTCCTGATGGATTCAGCATCCCAGAATGACTCAGGTCCATGATTCCTAACCTAGATACATCACCGAACCCACCTGGAGAGGTTTATAAACTACACATATCTGGGCCTCAGCCCTTACCTACTGAATCAAAATTTCCTGTGGGATGAGGGGAGAGGCGGGGTTCAAAGATGTAGATTTTGTCAGTCACTCAGGGGATTCTTATCGGCACCCTAGTTAAGAACGGCAACCTTTGAGAGAGGCCAACAGCTATTTTCAGGTATTGATGTGCTGCCTTGGGGAAGAGAGGTTAGTTTTAAACCTACAGAAAAGCTGAAAAAAGAAAAAAATGAATACCCATATACCCTATACCTAGATTTGCCAATTGTTAACATTTTGCTACCTTTGCACATTCTTTCTCTCTCTCTCTGTGGTGTGTATATATGTATACCATTTTTTCCTGAACCATTTAAAAGCAAGTTGCAGACATCATGACACTCCACCTCCACAGACTTCAGCATGTATTTCCAAAGATCTAGGACAGCTCTTCTACATGAGCACAGTAAAATTATCTTACTCAAGAAACGTAACCTTGTTTTAATGATATCTAATATGTCAGGTGGCATAGTGGTTAAGTGCTACGGCTGCTAACCAAAAGGTCGGCAGTTCAAATCCGCCAGGCACTCCTTGGAAACCCTATGGGGCGGTTCTACTCTGTCCTATAGGGTCGCTATGAGTCAGGATTGACTCAACGGCAATGAGTTTGGTTTTTTTTTTTCTTTTTTTGGTTTTAATATGTCAGGTCATAGGCAAATTTCCTCAGTGGCTCCCAAATAGTTTTTATTGTTTGTGTTTTAAATCCAGGATCCAATCAAGATACTCCCATTGTATTTTGTCCTCATAATCTCTTAATTTCCTTGAATTTAGAATAATCCTGTCAACTTTATTTTGTCTTTCAGGACCCTGACTTTTGTTTTTTAAAGTCTAGGCCAGTCATCCTGTAGAATGTCCCACAATCTGGATTTGTCTGATTTTTTTCATCATTATTATATTCAGGGTAAACATTTTGACAAAAAATACTACATAAGTGATGTTGTGTGCCTCCCTTTGTAGCATATCAGTAAACACACGATATCACTTTGCCCGTTATTGGTGATGCTAAGTCTGAGCATTTCTTAAGCTTGGGTAATAACTTTTAAAGACAAAGCTTAAAAGCACATCCTGATTATTTTATGAGCAAATATTTAACATTCGTTTTTCTCAGAGAGCAGAGCAAGTTTGCAGTCTGCCTAACTGTGAAGCCAGTCCTTTTTGCATTTTCTACCCAGGTGAGTCACTGGGATTCACACATTCCCCAGGGATCAGGAAAAGGCTATTGAGATAAGCCAGGACTGGCAGAAAAGGGGTTGGCAAGGCAATGGGCTTGGCTTGTCCTTGGAGGCCCTTCCAAATGCCTCCCCTCCTGAGCTGGCTGAGTTCTGGCTGCACTAACTTGTCACTAGCTCTGCTGCTTTTGGCCCAATGTAGGGGGAGGGTTAGTTCATTTGCAAGTCTAGCCAATGGGAAACACTAGCCAAGTGGCCCCATGCATCCAGAACGTTTCCTATATAGGCCACCCAAGAACATTTGTGCACACCCTTTTCCATCTGTAAAAGTGCCATGGGGAGGACTCTGAATGCAGAAAAGATTATGGTCAGAGATGTATGGTTATTAGTGTGACCCCAAAATTGTAAGTATTTAGTCTCAAGTCTTCTGATCTCAAGTGAAAACTTGGGTAACATCAATGGAAACATCACCACTCTGCTTTCTCCCTGGGTCAAAACTTAGTCCATTAAGATGAAAACATCCAAACTGAGGTAGATTAGCCAGCCAGAAAGGAAGAGGAAGCATACCCAGTAAAATCTAATCAGATGTTTTAAAGGCAAGAGACAATCTTTCCAAATGATTGATATCATTTGTGTGTACATGCTTGTTGTGTTGTATACATTTTTACACACGCACATAAATATACACACGCCAATGTATGTACACACACATAGACATATACACACATATATGTACAGACATATTGATTTTACAGATACTGCTTTTAAAAAGACAGAAATCAAAATTTCAGTTAACTTTTACTCCATTATTAAGAAGTTTTGCATATATTTAAATCAATGACTATTTTAGGGTTCTACCGGTACATCTAGTATCCTCAAGCTGCAGTCACAACCATGCTCGGGGGATTCTTTTGAATGCCCTGGAATGCATCAGGTGCCTTTTAAAATGCCCTGTGGAACCACTGGGATGAGATTTGAAGGGGAAAAAAAATGTAAGTAATGCTTACACTGGAGATGTAGAAATTGCTTCTGAAATCACCCTGATGTATGTAAAATTGAATCTATTTTGGTGGCATTAGGGAAGTGACTGGTTTCAGCAGTGTCGTCTTTAGGACAAATCTTGAAGAAGCGTTAGGAGAGGCGAGCACAAACATAGTTGTCACATCGGAAAAGATTACAGAAGAACGCGCTCTGAGCAATTATTTCATTACTGAACAGGTAGGTCCCCGCCTAATTCAGATCCTGCCTCCCCCTGTGTAGGTTTATTTTCTGGGGTTTTCTATTCCAAGTGACTGCTATGTTCTGCAACATCCATTCAATCAAGCCTCCCAATATTATATAGGAACTATGACCCCCAGGACTTGAGGGTGATGGGGCTTTGTCAGGTGTGGGCTGTTGCGTTGGAGTACCGTGGCATTCTTGAAAAGGGAGAGCATGCCACATTTCAAGGACAAATGACATGCATTGTTTTCAGTTTAAAGAAATGCTGGCTTTTACTAAGTACTCTCATTTTGATCTTACTGCTCTCTGTACTTGATAGTTATTTTTTTCTGAGATCTTTCATTCCCTAACATTGTTTTCCGGGTCTTTCTTCTGGTGCTCTCTTTTTGTATCCATGCAGAAATGTTTTTTGATTGTGTTAAATACATATATATAGCAAAACATTTGCCAGTCAACATTTTTTTACATGTATAATTCAGTAACACTAATTACATCCATCATGTTGTTCAGTCATCACCACTATCTGTTTCCAGATGTTTCCATCACTCTTAACAGACGTTCAATGCCCCCTAAGCAATGAGCCAGCCCCCCAGAGGTGGCCAAGGGGCCAGGGCCACCCAGACCCCAAAGAGGCTGGGGAGAAGGAAAAATAAAGAAATAAATAACTAGAAAGTTGGTCTTTCTTCTATCCTCTAGCTTTCTCTTCACCACAAAGCTGGGTGAAGGAGAGAAAGGAGACGAAAATAAAATGGCCCTGCTAGACTGGGAGGGCAGTGTCCCCTGGTTCTTCTTTACACTTTACTTCTTTACATTTTCTTGCCACAGGAAATTGGCTCTGGGTAGATCCTTTCACAGATAGGTTCTGTGGGAATCATCCCACCAGGAGCCTCTAAGAAAGTGGGACTGTAGATCTGATGGCCCCATCCTCAGGTATTCCTGAGCTGGACCAAGCCCTGGATAGATACACAAAGAGATGAGCAGTGGCCCTACTCATACAGAGCTCATAGCCTGGCCAAGGAGGCCAATAGTCCAACAAAGAACATGTCTGAACAACACATCAGGAGTTACTGTAGCAGCCTGGACAAAGAGCCACAGGATCTTTCCTCTGCCTTTGTACCCCTCAGTGTGACCAGAACTTGCCTGAGGGTAGTATGCTGTAGCCTCAGGAGTTACTTGCTTCTGATAAAGAGAATGGCACTGAAACCGGATGCCCTCCCTGTCCTTCAGCCCACAGTCCCCAAGTGGGGCTTAAAAGGGTTCCTTTGCAGGTGGTCAGGGAATGTCCAAGCTTGATACCCCATGGGGACAGTTTAGCAGAGATGAGGTAGGCAGAGAGAAGAACCAGACAAAATTTTATCCTAATTATTTTAGTAACATGTT